TTTTTTTTTTTTTTTTTTTTTTTTTTTTTCCTGTTAAAGACATTATAATACACTTTAAGTAAACAAATAACAGAGTTTCTATCCTTTGCTTTCTGCATGCATAGCTACTATTTTCTTCGTTTGTATAACTAGACCCTAGTGCATCCTGTTACGGTTGTCATAGTTGCTAGTTAAAGACATTTCTTTTGGTTAATATGTTACTGGAATTAATTAAAATGGGAAATCCTCCTGGGAGTAGTAGAACTAGCAAGGCCTGATCACAGCCTGATTTCTACTCTCCCTGTTGTCTTTGCTAGCCCCCATCAGAAGGTGCCAGAGCTGCCATGATGGCTAATGCCTGGCTGCTGCCTCTACTTCGGGTAACTGGCTCGTGGCATCTGCCTCTCCTCTGGTGCAAGCGCAGGCCCTGATTTCTGTAGCTTCTGTGAAACCACTGATTTTTTTGGGGGGTGAAACTTCAGTTAGTCTTTTTGTGAAAGACTGCACCTCTGAGAATTGATTTCCCCATAACAGGTAGGGAAATATGGCTAACACGTTACAAAGCCATCACGTGGGAACCACGAGACTGGTGATTAGATGGCAGAAACCGTGTAATAATCATTTAAAAAAGCCCAACCTACTGCACTTCCTTAACGTCTTGTATCTAAGAATCTCAAACTGCTTTGCAAATATTGAATCCATCGGTTCTCACTCCAGCAATGACTTTTGCCTGAGGAAGCATAGCTGGAGCTGATCCAGGAGCTGGCAGCACCTTGCGCAATCTCCAGAGATAAACTGCTTCAAGAATTGCCCCGTGCTTATGCAGATCCTACCAAACAACGAGTTTCTGCCTTCTAGGGCATATGCTGAGGTGCCCAAGCTCATTCCTAACATGTGAGTGTGGTGATCCACCTTCGCTAATTACCCAGCTGAGAAGAGGGTTAATTAACTGGGTGGAGGACTGTATTAATATGGCTATACTGTTTCTGAAATGTGAACCAGTGTCCTTGCATGGGGTAGCTCTGAGGACATACCCCTCCACCAGTTGTTTGCAAATTTTGCAGCTTCTGTTAGGATTTTGCTCCTTTGAGAACACTGGAAATAGAAGGTGGATGGATTGCTGAGGGTGAATTTCATGCAGAAGTACTAAAAAAGGAAGAAAACAAAGAATTCTCGAGGCATATACAGGAGGGGTGAAAGCAGTAATCATTTCTAAGATCTCAGCAAAAACATTTTAACGTAACATGATGTGTTAGGAGAGAGAAGAGATTTTAAAAACACTGAAAAAATAATTTGTTGTGACAAAGAAGGCCTGTCTTCCCATCTGAAAATAAGACTGTTTTTGCTCTGTTATCTTTAAAAAAAAAAATTGGCAACATTACACATATTGTTTTAAGTGAGATTCTTCCAGCATCTCTTTATCTGCTTTAACATCTATTCTGTCTGCTTGTTTATAGTCATTCTAGGAAGTCTCTGAAGTGCTATAGAAATAGAAGGATGCTCCTAAATGAGAGGAAATCAGTTGATAAAAATAGCGGTTGTCAAAAAAAGAATGATTTGGAGGGCTCTGTTACAACCACTTATTCAGGTGGAAATGTTTCTAGGAGTGTGAGGAAATGAACCTGTGTCACAGCCACAGGAAATGCTGATTTATTTATTGGTTTTGTCATAGTAGCCTTTGCAGATCATTCTGAGCCAGAGACAGCTTTATGGAATGAGCCAGCAGGAAACCGCCTTCTTTAGAAGAAGGAAATCATATTATCCTCTAATAGTAAATAGGAAGAGGTCCCTGCAGTCACAAAATCTGGAGAGGCTTGTTTTATAGAAGGTTATGGTTGAGACATTCACAGGGACCAAAGGAAGTTAAGCACTTTCAATCTTAAGGGTTTTTTGAACTGAGGTATTGTTCTTTATTTTGCTCCAAAGGCAACCCATACCTAACTCCTTACCTCCTAAATCCTCTGGAAACAATTCTTCACTATTGGTTTATCACATAGTTTGATTTACGAAAGCTCAGATTATTGTTACTGTTTTCCCAGTACAACTGTAAAGTGAAAACCAAAAGAGAAATCTAAGTTTTTGAAGCAGAAAGCAAAAGCACCTCTCAGAGAGTGGTACTTTGGGTATATCCTGTGAGAGTCAGCGACAACAAATATTCTCTTTTCAATGAAATGGGACCTCGCGGGAGGTTAATAAGGGGATTGACTGTAACTGCTTGTATTTTGCCAGCTCCACCATGGTGCTCACCGGTACATTTACTCTGTTCAAGACACTTATTGGAAGGATGTTGTAGAACTAAATCCCCGCAATTTCAGAGCAAGGGGTTTTGCAAGTGTCTCACAGACAGCATCAACTGGCAGGGATTTATCCCTTTCTTTTCTGCTATGATGAGCAGTCCAGGCTCTCAGTGTAACACAGCAAAAAGACAGTTAAATGTATAAAATGTTAAAACTTCTTTAATAGCGGAAGTTTATGTTGCAGATTTTCATCTGCAGAGTAGTGAGGCAGCTGATACAATTTTTACTGACTGCATTATTGTTTTGTAGCACTCAGTTTGCACATTCGACACTTTTTCCTACTGAAGGTTTATTCATACTCTGTTTTGTACTGCCCTTCTCCAGATAGAATCCTCTCCCTGCTATCTGCTGACTGTAAGGATCATCCGGATGAAAAATCTCCAGCGAGTGGACACCTGTAAGTATCTCTATTCTTAGCAATATCTTGGTACAGGCAACAAGG